TGATCGCCACACAAGTTGGCCCAGCAGTGTCCTGATCATCGCAGTGGCCCAGCAGTGTCCATGGTCGCCACACAAGTGGTCCAGCAGTGTCCCTGATCGCCACAGTGTCCCTGATCGCCACACAAGTGGCCCAGCAGTGTCCCTGATCACCGCAGTGGCCCAGCAGTGTCCCTGATACCATACAGTGGCCCAATCAGTGTCCCTGATCACCTTACAGTGTGCCTGTTCATAAAGTGTCCCTGATCTCTGCCCACACAGTGGATCCTGTTCACTGCCATCGTCTGTGAGGAGAGAGATCCAGTACAGCTGACTGTGAGTAATTTTCAGCCTTTGCACAGAGTTTACACACACTCACAAAACATTGCCAGCCACCTCACTGTATCTCTGATTTTTGCCCAACAGTGACTAGTGTGAACCAACTGCAGCCAGATATCTGTCCCTCACTGCAACACCATCCTGATCACTGCCATACCAGTGGGTCCTGATCAGTGTCAAAAATATGGCCAAAAGATCATATACAAGCGAGGAGGCATTTCAAATTCTGAGTATGACAGATGAGAGTGACGGAGAACTTAAAACATACCTTGGGGTGTTTGCTTTCCAAAATGGGGTCTTTTTATGGATAATTCCATTGTCCTGATGCTCCAGGACCTCCAAAAACAGCAATAGGTAGTTAAGAAATTAGATGTGCGATCTTTGCCCTTAGAACGCTAACAGGTGCTTATTGGATGTGGAACCCCTCTATGTGGCCAGACTGTGAAAAAGTCTCACACATTTGGTATCACCATATTCAGGAAGAGTTAGAGAATGTGTTTTGGGGTGTAATTTTAAGTATGCCTATGCAGTGTATTAGAAATATCTCATAGATTGACAACTTTGCGTAAAAAAAAATACATTTTCATTTTCTTTTCACATTTTCCAAAAACATGTGGCAAAAAAATGAAGTCTTCAGAGGACTCCCCATGCCTCTTAAAACATACCTTGAGGTGTTTTCTTTCGAAAATGGGGTCATTTTGTGGGTAATTCAATTGTCCTGGTGCTCCAGGACCTCCAAAACTGTGATAGACAGTCAAGAAATTAGATGTGTAATTTTTGCCCCTAGAACGCCTAAGGGTGCTTATTGGATGTGGGGCCCTTCTATGTGGTTAGGCTGTGAAAAAGTTTTACACATGTGGTATCGCCATACTCAGGATGAGTAGCAGAATGTGTTTTGGGGTGTAATTGCAAGTATGCCTATGCCGTGTGAGAGAAAGAACTTGTTAAATGACAACTTTGTGGGAAAAAAAAAAAAAAAATTTTTTTTTTTACTTTCATCATTTCCTTAAAAAATTGGCAAAAAATGACAACTTCAAAAAACTCCCCATGCCTCTCATTAAATAATTCAGACTGTCTACTTTCCAAAAAGGGGTCGTTTGGGGGGTATTTGTACTGTCCTGGCATTTTAGGGCCCCAAGAAATTATATAGGTAGTCCGTGCATCAGGATTGATACATTTTCAAATATATCAAATATATATACCGTGGTCTGTGGACTGTATAACTTTCACAAAGACTAAATAATACACACTGATTTGGGTTATGTCTACCAACAAAATGTAGCACAATGGATTTTGGCCTAAATTTATGAAGAAAGTATATTTATTTGCAAAATTTAGTATCAAATACTAAGAAAAACATGTTTTTTTTCAAAATTTTCAGTCTTTTTTCATTTTTCTAGCAAAAAAAAAAAACCCCAGTGATGATTAAATACCACCAAATTAAAGCTCTATTTGTTTGAAAAAAATGATAATAATTTCATTTAGATACAGTGTTGTATGCCTGAGTAATTGTCATTAACAATGTGAGAGCGCCGAAAGCTGAAAATTGGCCTGGACAGGAAGGGGGTAAAAGTGTCCGGACAGGAAGTGGTTAAAGGATAGGATCACTTAAAAAAAAAAAACTTAAAAAAAAAAAAAAAAAAAAAACAAAAAACTTTTCCACATCTAAGCTAAACTACCATGTTTATGAAGGACCCTGGTTAAGTAAGAAAGACAGACTGTGTAGGATATAGAGTCTTGTGTCGACAGCATGTGTGTGTACAGCAGCAAAACTTTGTTCAAAGGGATTCACTTCCTTTCATGCCGTTGTGCTTTTTGCACTAATCAGTTGCATGTTTTATGTATGTGGAGATGATTTTATTTACTACATTTTTGTATATGGAGTCACAATACACAAACCAGTTCTGGGTTCATTTATTTTGGATCTGTTCACTTGGGAACGTTAAAAGTGTAAAGGGGTCCCATTAGGGTGCATGGCTGTAAGAGATGCTTTACCTGGATGCACATTACATGCGTTGACGCATGGCTGCGCCATTCGTTTTGCAGTTCTGATGCATATGCCCTGCAGCGCACAACAATGCATGGGACTGTACCTTCATACGTTGTTGTCCAATTCATCCTTTATCTGGTTCCATGTGTTGGCAAACCTTTCATTTGACACAATAGACATTCACATGTAACATAAAGCGTATTGATGCAACACACAAAAGTGTGAATGATCTTGCCACCTCCTTATTGTAAGATCAAAGTATTATTTAGGTGCGGTTGACTTTTTTTTGTGAAGGAGTCCATTTTAGAGGGTAAGTGATTGACTGATAAATGGAAAGATTACCATCATGGAGAAAAGGAAAGAACAGCTACACTTGATAAAAGGAGTCACTGAATTCTGTAATTTGATGCCTAGCTCAAGGTGCTGCAAAAAGTTGAAATGCTAGTGATTTGTGACTGACTGTAATACATTTTCCAACATTAAAATTACTTATTTTATATATAGGATATATAGAATTTAATTTAAAAAACAATAATTTGTGTGACAGTCGCTTCAGAGCGTGTTTCCGACTCATTCCACTTATGGTGGCGATTCTCCCCCTAACTAACTTTTTATTGGCTAAAAACAAAAATGCTCAAGCCTTAAACGCCAGTAAATACACCTGTACAAATGCCCCCCCCTCCCCCCCCCCAAAAAAAAAAGCCTGTAAAACAACCAGATACACTCATTTGAAGTGTGACTGCAGCCTTAGTGTGCTTGGGAACATGTTACATGTTAAGCAGACCTGCAAAATGTTCTGTACATAATATTTTGTTTAAACAAGGATGCTAACCCTTAAGTGATTCAATAACGCACGTCTCATTCTTCATCCCACTTCCTTCCTAGTATTTCCTGCATTCACAAACAAAGTAGAGGTGTTTTAAAAGCTCAGCATGTGATTTGTATGGCAGGTTAAAAGGAAAAAATGTGAAGAGCCTGTGCTAACATTTCTCTGAGTTGTGATCTGCTGTGAAAGCATTAAGAAAGTTATTAAAGCTGACCTCCTACGCAAAGGAAAATTCTGTCCTGCCAGTCCTGAGATTTACACAGCCCTGTCATGCAGCAGAGTCAGGCCAGGGACCTGGGAGTGTCAAGAGAGGTGTAATTAGCCTTAAGGCAGTAAAGACAGGTTGCCTCCTTGCCTGCCAACTGGATAGTGGAAAAGTGATGATCTTATCACTTTGCTATCTTCTCCTGTCAGTGTGTTCCTTGTCTTCCATTGTGCACTGCAGCACACCTGATTGGCTCCTAGTGCTGCCTCTCCTTCTCCAGGTCTCAGTTTTGCTGTATAGGGGATTTCAAGAGGCTCATACCAAGTCAAATCAAAGCAGACCATAGACAGAGTGAATTTCTTTCCTGCAGCCTGCAAATATTGACAGTGTTGACAGGGGAATCCCTCTCGCCGAACCATTGTGTGCTGGGAGAACACTGTGATTGCTAGCGGCTGTATCAGTCGCTAGAAATAATCGTATGTAAAAAAACTGTGTGTAAAGACCTGAGTGATGTTGAGTACAGGTGAGTAAAGGTGCGTAAGCATATAGACGAGTAAACTTCTTCTTCATTGCCAGTATTGTAATACACACAACTCATTTATACTCTCCTAAACATGCTTTTGGACCACAAAACACGCATATGCAAGTGAATTACTGCGCTTAATTGTAAAATTTTCTATTTTTTACTTGTGTGCACAAGAGGCCCTATAATGGCTAAGCGGAAGAGCAGGGACGTGGAGCAGGAAGAATTACGCTGGTTTTGTTAAAACACAATTTTTTTAGTTTTTTTTTAATAGAATGACTGGTGTAATTTGTTCTTTTCATGACAAAAAAATGCCCTGGGTGTCTGTGCTACATAGCAGATATGACAGCAAATGCCACACTGGACATCTTTCATCAAAGTACTTGAAGGGAAACGGTTTCAGCAAGGGTTCACACTGTGAACTGCACGGGAATTGCACAGCATTCCTGTGCAAATCACATTTGATTCTGTGCGGTGCAATTTGAGCCAATTAATTTTGGATAGCTCAAATTGCACCGTATCCACATCAAAAGGTGCAGGCAGCTTTTTTTTTTTTTTTTTTTTTTTTTTTTTTTATTCACACTGGAACCAGATCGCATAGGTGTTTATACCCGTGCGATCTGGTTCTGGCAAACGCACTGTGTATGCAACCTGCTTTTGGGATGTCATTAACTTTTCATTGACGCCTGCAGCAGATTGCAGAACACAGTGCAATTTCTAAGCGGTGTGGGAAACACACAGGAATCACTGCGTTTACCACACTGCATCAGTGTGAACTGGGGCTCACTCAGTGGTGTATTTTGGTTTTGTGCTGCCCTAGGCAAGACTAAAATCGGGCCCCCCCCCACATCTAAATTTGTCCCACCCTTTCATCTGCAAACTCCACCCCTTCCTCTTTAGGCTCCACCTCTTCCTATTAGAGCTCCACCCACTGACAACGATGGGGCGGTATTCCTCCCACTGACACTAATGATGGGGCACTATTCCTCTCACTGACACCAATGATGGGGCACTATTCCTTCCACTGACACCAATGATGGGGCACTATTCCTCCCACTGACACCAATGATGGGCCACTATTCCTTCCACTTATACCAATGATGGGGCACTATTCCTCACACTGACACTAATGATGGGGCAGTATTCCTCACACTGACACCAATGATGGGGCACTATTACTTCCACTGACACTAATGATGGGACGCTATTCCTCACACTGACACTAATGATGGGGCACTATTACTTCCACTGATACCAATGATGGGACACTATTCCTCACACTGACACCAATGATGGAGCACGATTCTTCCCACTGACACTAATGATGGGGCACTATTCCTCACACTCCACACACACTTTATATACAGTATACAAACACACATACAGTATATACACACACACACACTTTATATACAGTATACAAACACACATACAGTATATACACACACACACACTTTATATACAGTATACAAACACACATACAGTATATACACACACACACTTTATATACAGTATACAAACACACATACAGTATATACACACACACTTTATATACAGTATACAACACACACATACAGTATATACACACACTTTATATACAGTGTGTGTGTTGTGTGTATATATGTATATATATGTATGTGTATATATATATATATATATGTATGTATATATATATATATATATGTATGTATGTGTGTGTATATATATATATATATATATATATATATATATATATATATACATATACACACACTTTATATACAGTATATATATACACACACACACTTTATATACAGTATACAAACACATACAGTGTATATACACACACACACACACACACACTTTATATACAGTATACAAACACATACAGTGTATATACACACACACACACTTTATATACAGTATACACACACAGTGTATATACACACACACACTTTATATACAGTATACAAACACACATACAGTATATACACACACACACACACTTTATATACAGTATATATATATAAAACATACATACTTTATATACAGTATATACACACACACTTTATATACAGTATACAAACACATACAGTGTATACACACACACTTTATATACAGTATACAAGCACATACAGTATATACACACACTTTATATATAGTATACAAACACACATACAGTATATACACACACACACTTTATATACAGTATATAATAAACACATACTTTATATACAGTATATACACACACACTTTATATACAGTATACAAACACACATACAGTGTATATACACACACACTTTATATACAGTATACAAACACATACAGTATATACACACACACTTTATATACAGTATACACAAACACACATACAGTGTATACACACACACTTTATATACAGTATACAAACACACACACAGTATATACACACACATATACAGTATACAAACACACATACAGTTATATACACACTTTATATACAGTATACAAACACACAGTATATACACTCACACACTTTATATACAGTATACAAACACACAGTATATACACACACACACACACACTTTATATACAGTATACAAACACACATCCAGTATATACACACACACTTTATATATGCACACAGAGACAAACACACACCAGCACTTTTCATCTAAAAATCAGCTTGGTCTAACACATTGCTGCTGCCCTCAGCTCCTGGCATGCTGGGACTTGTGGTGTCCCAGCAGCTCAAAGACACAGGAGGTGGTATTGCATGAGAGGAGGAGGCTGTGCCTGTGTATTGGTAAGCAGGTACTGAGCTGAGATTGGGGAAGTTCACAAGTCCTTCCTCCAGAAGCAATGCAGCTCTTCCCACACAGAAAATCGATCTGCCAGCCTCAGAACCAGGAGCCTTACTACGAGGGAACACAGCCTCTCCCCCCACCTCCTGCCCACCATTGACAAGACTACACTTTGCTCAGCTCTGCCAAGGTAACTGATAGCAGGCTGAAGTTCGTCCTCCACTGTAGACTGTTTACTTCCCCCTCTCTCGCCCCTACACCTCCTGTGATAAAGTCAAGTAAGGCGCGCTGGGGAAGGGGGCAGGTACAGTGTGTTCCCATTGGCTGAGGGGGCAGTGGAGAGGCGGAACAACTATAGCCTCCGATTTTTTACAGACGCTGAATGTCCGTAAAACATTCAGGGACAGATGTAAAAATCACAAATTTCACAGAAATCACAATTTTTTACAATCTGTCCCTGAACTTACTGAAGTTCTCGAATATAAAAATATACAGAGACCAACAGCAAAGCTATATCAGATAGAGGTGAAAGGGTTAAGGTACATGCCAAAGTCCTGGGTTAGCAGTTCCAAGTTTGAGTGAAAGGGCATGGGTCTCCCCAGGTGGTACTGATGTTAAAATGGCAGACGTCTTCAACTTAGCTCTCTTAGGCCTGACAGCCCATTTTGTAGTTCCCTAACAGGGGGTGTCTCTGAAGTCAAGGACAATACCCCGTTTAGGGCGTGGAGGTCTGGGCGGATACCTTAACTAGAGCCAAAATCTCTCCTAACTCATATTTTGGCCCATAACTTTCCATCTGCACAAGTGACATTCCACCCGCGGGTAGATTATTATGCAGACGCATCTGAGGATTGATTAGATATGAATTTTGAAATTATACACTGAACGGTTCACGAGATCTACTTCTTGGCTTTCCTATGTATTCGAGACAAGGCAAGTGACCTACCAAAATGTTCATCTCCTCTTAGCCAATCTGACGATATGTCTGGTTTTTATGTAAGTCTCTCATATTCCAAGATAGGAGACATAGGGGAAAAATTGATTTTTAAAAGTGTTTGCTGTTCCCGCCTTCCTTGGGATCTCTTTGAACTCCTGGGAAGGCTGCGTTATCTTTTTTTTACGAGGTGTTAAATGGCACAGGTTCTTTGGACAGCTAGGCCCCAGCTCCCTTGGGGACTTTATAGCTCCTAGCCCCCTGCTGGGCTCTGGCCTCCTGTGACACTCCTAACACGCACGCACGCACGTACGTACGTACACGTCACTGTGCCTCTCAGAGAGGGAAGAGGAAAGTATGAGGGGAGAAAATGGAGATTCTTAACAAAATGGAGGCTGCGTCCTGCCTCTGGTGCGCACGTTCGCGACATGGTGTGAATCTCGAGATTTTTTTCAGTCATCAGCAAACTACAGTCTCAGTAATTATTGATGCATTCATCATATAGACTTTGGTATATCTGTTATAATTTACTTATGCCCTGTGTTGCACTTGCTTATCTTGTACATTTTATGAGATGTTTTTATACATACTTGTTACAGGGTATAAGGGTGCATTCACACTTGCAAATGCACCCTGCCTGCGATTATATACAAGAACCCCAGCGGGGGTTCCCGCAACTATCTGCAAGAGGCAGTCCCGTTGAAAGCAATGGAAGGCTGCCCGCTCTTCCAACTAATTGCACCCACTTGCATATCATCTTTCATACTGTGATCACATTCTAGTGACCAGCCCTGGATGCAGTATTCCCTTAGTGCCTCCCCTGGCAGGTACATAAAAGGATGTGTAGGGAAGTTAAGGGAGGGGCAGAGATGCTGGGCCAGCACAGAAAATTGACACTAGGAGAGTTGGGGAGGCCTGTGCTAGACAATTAAGTATACCTGAAGTATTCCACTTTTCAGGTGAGTTTAAATACACATTGCAATGAATACAAAAACAGTGTATGGAACAGAAAAACACTTCAGGTAAGAATTTAAAAAATATATTTTTTGTGATTTTTATCTGCAATTTTAGTCTCTTTAACATGGTGCGTGTTAACACAGCTCTAAAGTGTGAATGGACCCTTAGAGGTGCTATGTTCGCATTTCAGAAGTTTCTTGTTATTGATGACATTCTCCATCTAAGAGGACATTTATTAATGTAGCAGCCTATTAATAGTGACTGTTTTCTATCTTTTGCCACAACTGCAAGCTCCTCTTTTGTGAGTTATTTAGGCTTACATCTGTTGCAGAAGCAAGGGTGTACATTTTAAACAAGTACAGATATTCCAATTCATTGTGCAACTGGCATACAAATGATAAATCTGTCCTTGGCTTGTGACACAAAATCTAACATGCAACAGATTTGCACCACAATCATTTGGACAGTATTGATAAAAGTTCCACACTGTGTTTTTGCTTTTCACTGCCCAACATTCCCTTTCCTACATTGCTCTTATTTTTTTGACAACTTTGCAAGTAGAGGTTCTTCACTGTCAAACTGCAGTTTAGCAGTACAGCATTTGTGAAAGCTACCGTATATACTCGAGTATAAGCCGACCCGAATATAAGTCGAGGTACCTAATTTTACCACAAAAAACTGGGAAAAAAACTATTGACTCGAGTATAAGCCGAGGGTGGGAACACCAGTGGGAAGAATCGTGCCTCATCATTGGTGTCAGTGGGAGGAATAGTGCCCCATCATTGGTGTCAGTGGGAGGAATAGTGCCCCATCATTGGTATCAGTGGGAGGAATAGTGCCCCATCATTGGTATCAGTGGGAGGAATAGTGCCCCATCATTGGTATCAGTGGGAGGAATAGTGCCCCATCATTGGTATCAGTGGGAGGAATAGTGCCCCATCATTGGTGTCAGTGGGAGGAATAGCGCCCCTTCATTGGTATCAGTGGGAGGAATAGCGCCCCATCATTGGTGTCAGTGGGAGGAATAGCGCCTCATCATTGGTGTCAGTGGCAGGAATAGTGCCCCATCATTAGTATCAGTGGGGGGAATAGCACCCCATTATTGGTGTCCGTGGAATAGTGCCCCATCTTTGGTGTCAGTGGGAGGAATAGTGCCCCATCATTGGTGTCAGTGGGAGGAATAGTGCCCCATCATTGGTATCAGTGGGAGGAATAGTGCCCCATCATTGGTATCAGTGGGAGGAATAGTGCCCCATCATTGGTGTCAGTGGGAGGAATAGCGCCCCTTCATTGGTATCAGTGGGAGGAATAGCGCCCCATCATTGGTGTCAGTGGGAGGAATAGCGCCCCATCATTGGTGTCAGTGGGAGGAATAGCGCCCCATCATTGGTGTCCGTGGGAGGAATAGTGCCCCATCATTGGTGTCAGTGGCAGAAATAGTGCCCCATCATTAGTATCAGTGGGGGGAATAGCACCCCATTATTGGTGTCCGTGGAATAGTGCCCCATCTTTGGTGTCAGTGGGAGGAATAGTGTCCCATCATTGGTGTCAGTGGGAGGAATAGTGTCCCAACATTAGTGTCAGTGGGAGGAATAGTATCCCATCATTGGTGTCAGTGGGGGGGTGGAGGAATAGTGCCCCATCGTTGGTGTCAGTGGGGGGGAGAATAGTGTCCCATGATTGGTGTCAGTGGGGGGTGGAATAGTGCTCCATGATTGGTGTCAGTGGGGGGTGGAATAGTGCCCCATCATTGGTGTCAGTGGGGGGGGGGGGGGGGAGGAATAGTGCCCAATCGTTGGTGTCAGTGGGGGGGGGGAGGAAAAGTGCCCCATCGTTGGTGCCAGTGGGAGGAATAGCGCCCCATCATTGGTGTCCGTGGGAGGAATAGTGCCCCATCATTGGTGTCAGTGGCAGGAATAGTGCCCCATCATTAGTATCAGTGGGGGGAATAGCACCCCATTATTGGTGTCCGTGGAATAGTGCCCCATCTTTGGTGTCAGTGGGAGGAATAGTGCCCCATCATTGGTATCAGTGGGAGGAATAGTGCCCCATCATTGGTATCAGTGGGAGGAATAGTGCCCCATCATTGGTATCAGTGGGAGGAATAGTGCCCCATCATTGGTGTCAGTGGGAGGAATAGCGCCCCTTCATTGGTATCAGTGGGAGGAATAGCGCCCCATCATTGGTGTCAGTGGGAGGAATAGCGCCCCATCATTGGTGTCAGTGGGAGGAAATAGCGCCCCATCATTGGTGTCCGTGGGAGGAATAGTGCCCCATCATTGGTGTCAGTGGCAGAAATAGTGCTCCATCATTAGTATCAGTGGGGGGAATAGCACCCCATTATTGGTGTCCGTGGAATAGTGCCCCATCTTTGGTGTCAGTGGGAGGAATAGTGTCCCATCATTGGTGTCAGTGGGAGGAATAGTGTCCCAACATTAGTGTCAGTGGGAGGAATAGTATCCCATCATTGGTGTCAGTGGGGGGGTGGAGGAATAGTGCCCCATCGTTGGTGTCAGTGGGGGGGAGGAATAGTGTCCCATGATTGGTGTCATGGGGGGTGGAATAGTGCTCCATGATTGGTGTCAGTGGGGGGTGGAATAGTGCCCCATCATTGGTGTCAGTGGGGGGGGGGAGGAATAGTGCCCCATCGTTGGTGTCAGTGGGAGGAATAATGCCCCATCATTGGTATCAGTGACACCAATGATGGGGCACTATTCCTCCCACTGACACTTGCTGACCCCTGTTCCAGTATGGTGCTGCTGCAGTCAGCATATGTGGTTGCAGCAGCACCTAAGCACGGCACACTTATCTGCATCTCCTTCACTCGATTTTCGCGGGGCCGCTCAGCTCCGCCTCCTCGCCGGTGATTGGCCGCCTGTGTGTCTTTCCTGAGCTACAGTTCTGGCGGCCAATCACCGGTGAGAAAGCGGAGCCGAGCAGCCGCGCGAACATCCAGTGGACGAACCGAATGAAGGAGCAGCCGCGCTTCCTGGACCGGATCGTCGTGGGACCGGAGCCAGGTAAGAGACAGCAGCCCCCTGCAGACGTTGACTCGAGTATAAGCCGAGGGGGCCGTTTTTCAGCACAAAAAATGTGCTGAAAAACTCGGCTTATACTCAAGTATATACGGTAACTTGTTTGATATGGGATACTGCATATGATTGCCCATTAGTTTCCAAAGTGTTTTTTCCTTTTCACCTACTTTTTGCCCTCTTTCCTTCCATTCAGGCTTTTGATGTTGCAGAGCGTGAGAGCTGGGAATACCGACATTGCTTGATCCAGATGACATGGTATCCATGAAAGTTCCAGACCGTCTTAGCATTATGACCTATGTATCTCAGTATTACAATATTTTCCGCAATTCCAACCCAGGTCAGTGAGTAAAGTATAACTTAAGGTAAAATGTGTTTTTTAGATTTTGAGTGGTGATGAGTTGGAGTCACTGTCAGGTTTTTATTGCTATCCATGTGTCCTTTAGGAAGATTCACTCTGTAACGGCTAGTTCTCATGTGCTGCAGCTCTTGTTCCCCCTATGAAAAGTGACTTGTGGAGGACTAAACCCTTACCGTGTACCTAGCAGGTGATTGCAGGGTGGTTGTGGCATGGCCCCATACACTTAAATGGTGTCTCGTTCAGCAGCGGGATGCAGTTTACATTTTAAAGTAGCTGTAAAGCATCGTGACTGTGGCATGCATATAGCTCTGAGCGACTGCATGCCCTTCAACCACCTGCTTTTACCAGCCCCTGGCCGCTCATGTGAAAAAGGCCTAATTGTCAGCAATATCTACAAAAAAAAAAAATAGTAAATTCAAAATTTTTAGATGCCACAAGAAGAGGAATAGGAGGTGATTTTCCAATGGGGATATTTGTTTTCATGATAGCTGTCTAAGAGGGGATTTCCCTCACATTAGAAAGATATAATTTCACTGTTGAGTCTACAGGGCACAAAAGCTTGGGACCATTTATGCGTTCCCTACATTTTGAACACTTTGACAAGGAGAAGACAACCTTTGGGAGGTGGAAGAGATCAAGGATCTCCAGGGTGCAGCACTCCTTCTTTTTTTTTTTTTTTTTTTTTTTTTAAAGAGCAAGGCCCCAATAAAAAGTAATGACACAAAGAAGGAGAATGTAAAAAAATGTCACTGTATAAATATTAACTTAGCCTACCTTTAAAACTTAGCTTCAGGGAGGAACTTGACATGCACTTTCATTTTATAATTATTTTTGTCTAATTAATTATGCCTGGGGAGTAACTGGTCACCCCAGGTTTGATGTAGGGTTTCATCAATAGTATTGCAGGCTGAATTACTTGGCTAGATTAATGCCTGGTACACATGGGCTGAATATCGGCTGGTTCACTATAAACCGCCAATATTCGGCCCGTGTGTACAGCAGCCTGTTCGACAAGCTGGCCGAATGTCTGGGTTTTGTAGAACAGGTATGCCAGAGAAACATATGCTGATCGGCATGACCACTGTGTGTTGGGGGGGGGGGGGGGGGGGGGGGGGGGGGTTGTCAGTAGTAGTTAGTACTTAGTACAGAGACCTCCTCAGTGTTTTGTTTTGTTTTTTTTTTAAGTTCAGCTCACTGGGCTGAATGAGGAAAAAAACTCATGGGGTTGATTTACTAAAGGCAAATAGGCTGCGCATTCCAAGTGCACTGCAAGTGTGTTTGAAAGTGCAGTTGCTCTAGATCTGAGGGGAACATGCATGGAAAAAAAAAAAACAGCATTTTTGCTTGCACGTCATTGGATGAAAGAAATCAGCAGAGCTTCACCTCATTTCAGAGCTTCCTCTTGGGTATAAAGCAACTACACTTGCAGTGCACAGTATATTTGCCTTTAGTAAATCAACCCCATAGTGTGCACGAGGCATTAGGCCTGGCTGGCCTCCATTCTGAACTTGCTGTCTAGTCTGAGTTCTGGCCCCACTGGCTGTTTTGACTTCTAGCCTGGTTGGCCAGTGTGAGCTCTGACATAGCTGACTATTTTTGTTTCTAGTGAATAGTGAACTACCACTTAAAAACTGAAAGATAACACTCATATGGGCAGAAATACTGTCAGCATGTCCTAAATCCCAGGCTATGGACTCACACTCTGGTGCCACAAACCAGGCAACTCCTATAGCTCAAAAGTGTTCAGTTTTGACTTCCTCGTTCAAACAAAACTCGCATGTGTAGGGCATGCTCCTAGTGACGTCATCACGCTTGGATACTTTTGAGCTATGAAAGTGCTTGATTTGTTGTGCCTGATTTGTTGGACTAGAGTGTCGGTCTATAGCATTCTGCGGGTTTTATGACATGCTGACACTGTTAATGCCAGTGTAAACTTTTTGTTTTTATTAAATATCTTTTAAGTGGTAATTCACTATTGTTGTTGGCTTCTTTTTCCATGCATATGGGATTTTCATCTTGATGTATTCATCTGTGATCCAGATTAATATATGAGGTCGGCAGTCTAGAGTGGATTATACAAAAGCCCCTTCAGACCTTCCAGTAATCTTGGGGTTCAGCTGGGATACTAAGCTGCTCTACTCTGGGATTAGTCATTCGGTGTTTTGGTTTCCACCTTATCAGCACTACAGTGGCAGGAAGAATTTCATTTGCATCTTTGGCAAATTCTTACATCTGCGGATGCCTCTGTCTAAACAAAATGTCACAGCAGGGGTGGATTTCTCCATCCACAAAAACAAGGTGGGGACAGCCACACACTGATTGAAATTCGGCCAGTCCCTGCTGAAAATGGCAACATTTCGATCAGTGTATGATCAGCGTTACTCTTTCAGCAGGCAGTTTATTCTCTGCTACCCCTTTTTTTTCTTTTTCACATATACTTTTGTTTTATCTTCACAGCTGGAGTTCCTCAGTTCAAACAGACCTCCGCACTGCAGCAAGGAGAGAGCCAGGTTACACACCCTCAGGTAAAGAATAGCAATAAAGCGAGTTAAAGCGATACTAAAGGCTCATTTATTTTTTTTTTTCTTTTAATTTTGAAAAAAAAAAAAATTGTAAAATAACAAACATGTCTATACTTACCTGCTGTATGCAGTTGTTTTGCACAGAGCAGCCTGGATCCTCCTCTTCTCGGGTCCCCTGCAGGTTCTCCTGGATCTTCCTTTCTGTCGGGTGCCCAACATAGCAAGCTGCTTGCTATGGGGCACCCGCTGCTCCGTGTGCCCATTTATACACCCATTCATATTCATTCATTCTTTTTGTGAATTGTTGTCCAAAACTGAACTGCATATTCCAGATGAGGTGTAGCTAATGATTTGTACAGGGGTAAAATGATATCTCTCTCTCTGGAGTCTATACCTCTTTTATAACAAGAGAGGATTTTGCTCGCTTTAGAAACTGCAGCTTGGCATTCATTGCATGCCATTATTAAGCTTGTGTTCTACCAGAACTCCCAGATCCTTCTCCACCATTGATTCCCCCAGTTGTACCCCCCCTAGTATGTATGATACATGCATATTCTTAGCCCCCAAGTGTATAACCTTACAGTTATCAACATTAAACCTCATTTGCCACATAATTGCCCAATTAAACAGTGAATTGAGGTCGGCTTGTAAGTTGGAGACATCCTGTAAGGACGTTATTCCACTGCACAGCTTGGTGTCATCTGCAAAGACTGAAATGGGATTTATATCCCCAGACCATATATCGTTTATAAATATATTAACCACTTGCCCGCCACAGGATTTTCCCCCCCTTTCTGACCAGGCCATTTTTTGTGATGCAGCTCTGTGTTACTTTAACGAACAATTGTGCGGTCATGCAACGCTGCAACCAAATTAAATTTATGTCCTTTTTTTCCCTCCACAAATAGAGCTTTCTTTCGGTGATATTTGATCGCCTCTGCGCTTTTTAATTCTTTGCGCTATAAACAAAAAAAAGACTGTCAATTTTGAGAAAAACATATTTTTGGCCTTTTTGCTACATGTCCAATAAAACAATTTAAAAAATCTAATTTCATCATACATCTAGGGTAAAATGTGTTCTGCGATATGTCTTAGCTAAGAAAAAAAAAATCCCAATTTGTGTAAATTAATTGCTTTCTGTGAAAGTTATAGCATTTACAAAAGGCAGTATATATTGGAATTTTTTTTTTTTTTTTTTCACTAGTAATGGCGGCGATCAGTGACTTATAGCAGGACTGCGGCAGGCATTCTGACACTGGGGGAAACTGACTTGGTGTCACTGACATCTCCAGTGACACCAATACAGTTATCGGTTCTAATAAAAAAGCACTGACACTGTACTAATGACACTGGGCAGGAAGGGGTTAACATCTGGGGCGATCAAAGGGTTGTGTGCTGGGTGTGTTTTTTACTATGGGGCTGTGTCTGTGCTTTCCACTGTAAGCACACTGCTTTGTAAGGCTCTGCTATGCAGAGCCATATAAAGCAGTGTGCAGGAGCTGACGGGAGAGAACTGTATTGTTTACATACAGTTCTCTCCCCCCGTCAGTATTACTTGGTGATCACCGTGTGCTGGTGAGTAATCACCGGCCGGGACCCGGTGATTGACAGTCAAGGCTGCGAATGGCACCGCGGGTAGGGCACGCTCGCGCACACCCCCTACCCGGAAGTGCACAATCACGTATATATACGTGATTTTGCGCACACCTGCTGCCCTGTAGCAGTATTTCTGCTATAACACTGAACCTTGGTGTACACAACTAACAACCCTAGACCATTCAGAGTATAAATCATTCACTATCGTTATTTGTCCTGTTTACTATTATTAAAAGTGAAATTTACAAAAAAAAATTTTTTAAATTTTGTCACCAGAACAGTAAGAGATTGGAAATCTTTCAATGGGGTCTGGTTACCCTTGTGACAAACCAATGATTCACTCCCTTTGAAGGGATTTCCGCCCACTTCCTGTTTTGATTATTTGACAGAAATGAAGGGATATCTCCCAAATGGGACATAGATGGCAAAAAAAAGACAGGAGTTTTAACCTTCCCTTACTCTATCCATAATAATTTAAAAGAAAAAGTTTGCCTTTTAGTTCTGTTTTAACTGTTGGCTTCTACTGCCAAAATATCCTTTTTTTTTTTTTTTTTTTTTTTGAATCAGAATAATTTCCTGTGCACTTTGAATGCTGGTCACCATTTAGGTTGTTAATCTATGTGATGGTAATTTCAGTAAAGTGTTTGTGTGTTATATCTTATTTAGGGTAGTTTGGATACCACAAGTACAGCCACTCGGGTGGCACTGAGCAGCACCTGTGCCTTATGCCAGCAACATGTTCACCTTGTACAGAGGTGCTTAGTAGATGGAAAGCTGTATCATCGGCAGTGTTTCAGGTACACCTTAAAGCCATTTCTCCTGTTTTATTCCCTTTGGGTTTATTTTCCTCCCTTTACTCATCACTTCACTGTTTCGGTGTTCTATTCTATCACATATTTCTTCTATTTTATGATTAAATTATTTGCGTCTTTAGCAGACATGCAGCGATTCTCCCTGGACGCAGACTGCCTGTGTCCAGGGCCAATCACTCATATACAATCACTGCATGGTAAGATAGCCTTAAATTATAGCACATATTTGAAGGTGGATGCAGATGTTTAACCTGTTTTAAGGCTCATTTTCCCAATACATTTTTGCTCCTATCTAAACTGGTAAGAATGTGACCTATATATAGAAGTATTTTTTGTTTCCATATATTACAGGTGTAAAGAATGCTCCAGCACTCTGCTTCCTGGTTCTTATCAACCCGGTCCTGAGACTGGCACGTTTGTGTGTACCCACCATCATCGGCCTCGGCCAGGCATTAGCAGTCCGGAGTCTGCTGAAGAAAATTCTGTACAAAATGCAGTCCAAAGCCCACCTAAACCACGTGCTCCTCCAAAACCTCCTCTTCCGAACAAACCTCAAAAGGAGCTTGTTACAGATGGTGTACAAGACACACGACCTGTGCCAGCACCAAGGAGGACAAGTGATGTAGCACCTCAGCCTCTGCCTCGAGCTCGATCAGGTGCAGGACAGAGCCCTGCAAGACCAACAAGTTTTGTGAATGGTAAGATAATTACATGATGGTTGCAAAAAAGCTGTTTAATTTAATGTTAAATTTTAATATTAAAACCACACATGCAAGTTAGTATCACAACAAGTATTTCACATCTAATTTTTTTTGCATTGTAGGTGAGCAGCAGATATCAACTCCACCAGTCCCTAAGCCGAGAGGTAGACAGAGGTCTGTGGAAAGGTGAGTAACGATGATTTCTAAGTAGGAGTTTGATCTACGAGGCTTGTTATTTAACCGGTTCAACTCCGCCCCATAGCAGAAATACTGTACAGGGCAGCAGCTGTGTGCAAAATCACGTATGTGTATGTGATTTTGCACTTCCGGGTAGGGGGCACGCGAGAAATGTTGGCAAACAAAACAGTTCTCCTCCCTGTCAGCTCCGGCACACTGCTTTGTACTTATTATTACAGGTTCTTATACAGTGCCGTCAATTTGCGCAGCACTTTACATATATATTGTACATTCACATCAGTCCCTAACCCTCAAGGGGCATACAATCTAAGGTCCCTAACTCACATTCATACATACACATACTAGGGACAATTTAGACAGGATCCAATTAACCTTCCAGCATATCTTTGGAGTGTAGGAGGAAACCGGAGTACCCGGAGGAAACCCACGCAGGCACAGGGCGAACATGCAAACTCCAGGCAGGTGGTGCCATGGTTGGGATTCGAACCAACGACCCTAGTACTGCCAGGTGGAAGTGCTAACCATTTAGCTACTGTGCTGCTTACAGTGAAGCATAAACACAGCACACATTGTAAAACGGCACACAGTATACAGTTAACCCTTTGATCGCCCCAGAGGTCAACCTCTTCATGCCCAGTGCCATCAGTACAGTGTCAGTACTTTTTATTAGCACTAATCACTGTATTGGTGTCACTGGTGAGGTCAGTGACACCAAGTTGGTTCCTCCCAGTGTTAGAATGCCCGCCTCAGTCCTGCTGTAAGTCGCTGACCACCACCATTACTACTAAAAATGTAAAAAAGAAAAAAAAAAGCCCAGTAAATATACCGCCATTTGTAAATGCTATAACTTTTCATGTAAACCAATTAATTTACACGTTTTGGGATTTTTTTTTTTTTTTTTTTAGCAAAGACATGTAGCAGAATACATTTTGGCCTAAGTTTATGACGAAATTTGACTTTTTTTAAAACATTTTTACCAGACATATTAAATAGCAAAAAGTTAAAAATATTGTTTTTTTTTCTCACAATTTACTTTTTTTTCTTTTTGTAGTGCAAAAAATAAAAAACACACAGGCGATCAGATACCACCAAAAGAAAGCTCTATTTGTGGGGAAAAAAATTAATTTGGGTGCAGCGTTGTGTGACCGCGCAATTGTCAGTTAAAGTAATGCAGTTCTGTAATGCAAAAAATGGCCTGGTCAGGAAGGGGGTAAATTCTCTGGAGTGCAAGTGGTTAAACAGTTTAAAGGCTTGTTTCCATTTGGGTTTGAGGGTGATAAAAAAAAAAAAAAACCCTACAGTTGAGCCACATTCTTACCATCCCTCAACAGCTCCCCTTTGCAGCCAGGGTGTACACTGCTGTGTTCACGATGCTTTTGTGTGCAGGAGCAATTGTGCCTCCGGTTACACTCAGTGGGTAGTAGCACCCACTGAACACAAGACATTCAAGTGAACACGCCCAACTTGCTCAGTTGTCTGGTGTTTTGGTATTTAGGGAGTTTAAACAGGCGGTGAGGAGGCAATACGTTGCCTCCTCGCCACCCATCTAATTCTGTCTGAAGAGTGATCTGAATATGGATCACAGCTCTGGTGAGTTTATTCAATTAATTTAGTGGTGGAAAAGCACAGTTTGGTGGTACTAAGAAGATCTAAGAAGTTATTTTGCACAGGTTGACGGTCCCACATATTAGATGGACATTTATATAAATATAAAATAAAAAAAAATATTTAGCACTTTTATTGGTATATCATTGTACCTTATTACTATTTTGCACAGTGAAAAGGGATGTTATATGATACTGATATTCTGTTATATGTTGCACTTTATCTGAATTTTCACTTTATTTTTGGTCCATAGGTATATAGGGGATGTTAGATATTACGTGGCACTTTTTTCTGTATATACTTGAAAAGTGGAGATAATTGAAGAGTTTTGCAGTTTAGCTCAGTGAATGCTGATCACATTAACTATATAGTTTAGGAGTATATTATATACTCAGCTGCACATTTTTGTAGAGAAGAAATTTATTGATTGCACATTGTGGGTTGTAGAGAAGGTTAGCGCTGTTCCATAATTTACCAGTCTTGATTGGTGATAGTTATATCATGGAGAATAGCAGCTGCCGGGAGTGAATATATTGATTCAATACTTGTAGTACATTTTTGCTGTGGCGCAGTCTGTAAGATATTTATACACCCTCGCACATGCCTGAGCCAGGGGCGGGTGGACTCCAGGAAGTAAATGCTACGTGTATCATCTGCCCTTGCTCAAGATGGCCACAGCCAGAAGTGCTAGGGGATGTTTTTCGAAGTTTATTCTCAGCAAAATAAAGCATGGAGACATGGATGGATGGGGGAGTTGTTTTGAATGTTAAAAATGAATTAAATGGTGTTTTTGGTTTGTGGTTCTCAGATGTTAGTGTAGTTGCGCTTTAAGTTCTATTTTAAAAATAATGAGAACTTGGTTTCAGGAGAAGTGAAGCTTCGCTTAGAGAGAAGTGGAGGCTTTGTGTACACCTTATATAGCAGGCAGAAATATAGGGACCAATACAGCATTGATGTTTTAGGACGTTTTTTTTAGGTCCACTTTAACCACTTGCAGACTGCCTGCCTGTAATGTACTGTGGACAGGAGGCCTGTAGAGGCACAGCAACGTATCTGTACGTTGCTGACCTTTTCTGGGTACAGGGTACATGCGTCACCGCCAACAAACTTTCTCTGTTGGTACACAGCAGGAGTTTCAAAAGAGACTTGATGTGGGGGTTTGATACATTTATAACAGCTTACAGCACCCGCTGTTTACATTAGAAGGTTTAGCTGAAGTTTCAGTGTCACTTGCCAGTCGTTAGATGCGGTGGATAGATTTCGTTTTGTTTGTTTCATTGAGTGATCCTGCCAGTAGCATACTTTCTGTTCTAGGGTGACAACACTGCTCCTTGAAGGATAAAGGGAGCATTGTCACCCTAGAACAGAACTGTTGAAAACCTTCCGTGCTACTCTTCTGCATGACAAATGGGGGAGATGTTCTGTAATCCATAGAGATATCTGGAAACAATCAAACTGCTAACAGTTATGAGACACAAAGAACAAAGATTTGTCTCAACTCACAAGGTTTCAGACAGGATAAACAGGTATTTTGTTAAGGTTTACATTCACTGCAAAAACATATGGAATAACAATGAAACCATCATCTTAGAGAAATGCTATACTCACACACATACTGGTAAGCTGGAAACTAAGAATATCAAAACCGAAAAAACGAAGAGATCCAAAAAGCAAATTGGCAAGAGGTAAAAGTGTTAGTTAAATGGGGGAAGCAATATTTGTTAATAAATTACCACAACCCGCAACTGTTTTCTGTAAGGGCTTAGTGGACTTCTCTAGCTGTAACCCTTGTTATTTTGGCAAGTAGATTTAGTTTTGGATTTTTTATATGATGTTGCTCCCCTTATAGGGAGGAGGATGGAAAACGTCTTAAAGATCCTCCTTGGATTTCCTTGGTGGCAGCAAGTGAGCCCAAGAAAAGGGCTGCGCCACTGCCTCCATCTGTGATACAGGATAAGGATGATGTAGAACAGAGCTCCAAAGCATCAGAAGAAGCAGCAAGTCAAAGCCCCTCAAAGTCTGAACACTATAATCCATTTGAGGAAGATGAGGAACAGGAGCCAGATGAGAATAATCTAAAGCCAAGCCATCCATGGTATGGAATTACCCCAACCAACAGCCCTAAAGCACGAAAAAGACCAGCACCCAAAGCCCCGAATGCTTCCCCTCTGGGTAAGAGAGAACCAGTAGGTACTGCTTGTTGGAATCTTTTGCCTAGTTTTTGTTTGTTTTTAACCACTTGCCCTCCAGAGGATTTACCCCCCCTTCCTGACCAGGCCATTTTTTTGCATTACGGCGCTGCGTTGCTTTAACTGACAATTGTGCAGTCATGCAACGTTGTACATAAATGAAATCTATGTCCTTTTTTTTCCCCACAAATAGAGCTTTCCTTTGGTGGTATTTGATCACCTGTGCATTTTTTTTTTTTTTTTATCTTTTGCGCTATAAACAAAAAAAAGACTGACAATTTTTGAAACAAAAAACAATATTTTTTACTTTTTGCTATAAAACCTATCCAGTAAAAAAAAATTTAAAAAAATGTCTTCAAAAATTTAGGCCAAAATGTATTCTGCTACATTTCTTTGCTTTCTTTTCTTTATTAGTAATGGTGGCGATCAGCGACTTATTGTGGGACTGCGGCAGACATTCTGACACTGAGGGGAACTGACTAACTGCTACTGACACCCCCCCCCCACTAAATACAGTAATCAGTGCTAATTAAAAGCACTGACACTGTACTAATGACACTGGGCAGGAAGGGGTTAACAACTGGGGTGATCAAAGGGTTAACAGTGTGCTGTGTTGTGTTTTACATAGTTTGCTGTGTGTGATTTACTAGGGAGAGAAGCTGCTTTGTATTGCTCTGCTGTGCAGAGCAATACAAAACAGCCATTTCATGCAGAAAGGGGAGAGATCTGTATTGTTTACATACAGACCTCTCCCCTGTCAGCTCCGCCTCCGACCACAGAGCCCCAGCCGAGAATCGGCATCTGGGACTTGGTGATTGGCATGCTGAGGAGCCAGTGGCAACACAGATAGGGAGCACGCGCAACCCATACCTGGAAAAACAAAATCACGTGTATATATATATACGTGATTTTGCGCATCCCTGCCGCCCAGTAGCAGTACTTCTGCTGAAGGGCGGTCAGGAAGCAGTTAAAAGTAAGCCAAACAAGAGACACTATACCATGCTACTTGTACATGTATGTATCATTCAGTGGTCTGATGCATCAAAGAGTAGTTACTTTTATACCACATGCATTTGGGATGGAGTGGTAGGAAGAGTGGAGGAGGTCGGCAATTAGCAGGGGTGGGATAGACTTCCGTGCAGAGGTGGGTTTTCAGGGTGCGCCGAGAGGAGAGTAGGTGATAGTCTGATGGAT